ATGTACCTGGTGGTAAAGGGAGAGAGTAAAGTAAAAAACAAAACAAAAAGTAAAGTAGGAGCAAAGGGTTCCGCAGCGATACTGTCCGTAACACGCCAGTGAATGTTGTACTGCTAGACATTCTACTTACTATACTGCCTTCACCTCGCGAATTTTTAGGTCTAGACCAGTGTTTGTCTGTCTTTTTTTCCCAGCGCCCATTTTTGCCACATTCAAGAGGCTAAACTTTATACTGCCCACTCACACTCACGTTATGTATTTCCAAACGGGGCATAAAGTAACACCTGTCACTACTCAGGCGATCCAAACAGCCCACCAAATGTACCAAATCTCCCACAAGTGGGCAATACCACCCACCAAATGTACCAAATCTCCCACGAGTGGGCGATACCACCCATCAAATGTACCAAATCTCCCACGAGTGGGCGATACCACCCACCAAATGTACCAAATCTCCCACGAGTGGGCGATACCACCCATCAAAAGTACCAAATCTCCCACAAGTGGGCGATACCACCCATCAAAAGTACCAAATCTCCCACAAGTGGGCGATATCTCCCATCAAAAGTACTAAATCTCCCACAAGTGGGTTATATCGCCCAAGTTGACAAACACTGGTCTGAACATTGTTTTGTCGTCTGTACTGTCAATCTTGATGGACGTCTTTGATCCCCCCCCTACCCCCCTCTCCCCCCACACACCCATGCCATTGTACTGTACAGTTTGTGCCAGTTTCCCTGTTTGACGCTGTGTGTGTTAGTCCGTTGCTGTAGATTGGCCAATACCCTCTCGTCTTTTTTCTAGCTCCAGCAAGCGATGAATGCCGGTGACATTTTGCTTGCGTTTTAATAAAATAGTCCTGTCGGTGTGTCTTAACATGGCTGAATGGAGTTTGCTGTTTGTCAACGTAATGGTAGTCATGATGAGCAATGTGAGGCATCGTGGTGAAACCAGGCGCTCGTCCAAATGATGACAAAGAAGAAACAGGCATTTTCCCGCTAGTTTGGTAATTTTTATCGAATTTCTTTTGTTGTTTTTGTTTGTCTTTTTATTTTTGGCTCAACACCTTTTATGTCCATATAGACACTTTTCCGAGCGAATGTGCCAGAAAAACATTGATAAAAGGCACAGAATACGTAATTGATTAGTTTTCAAGAATCTCAAATATTGAAGTTACCAAACTTTGGCGACAATTTTCTCACTGATTTTACCACTAAAACCAGGCCACCCCACCTCCTTCAATAGCAAATATCTCGACTTCTTTTCAAGATAAATGGGTATTTTTTTTCATTGAAAGTACGGCAAATGAATAAGCTTTTTGTTAGTACCAATGACTACACATGACCAAAATGGACAAACGCCTGATTCCATCATGTCGTCACACAAATGTTTTACTCTCCCATTTACATAATGTGATTCATTTAGGAGGCTGGTTTCTTCCAACATGTCTATTCAGGTCAACCCAACACTTCGGTGAAAAGCCTCAAAATGAAGTGGTACAGGCATGTCCCACGGTCATGTGGCCAAGACTGTCCTCCTACAAGGAACAGCACAAGGAGTGAGGCCAAGAGGAAGACAGGGGAAACGATGGGAAGAGAGAGTCAAAGAGTTTTTAGTTTTAGTAAGTGTTTTACGGCACTTGCAACACAAAAAGGTAATGTAAGTGCCGAAGATTAGAGGTGTTACAAGGGAGTAACAAACACAAAAAGGAGGGGAGATAAAAACGATAGATGTTTAATAGGAAAGAAGGAGCAAACCATACCAGAGCACTCGCCAATCACCAACTGCCGAAAATTTGAGGTGTAACTTCACAGTACCATAGGAAGAAAAGAAAGCACGCTCATATGACCTTATGCAATTGCGAGCGCTGTAAAACTATTACGGAAAAAAAGAAGAAGGATTAAGACAACAGTCTGGTTTTAAGTTGGAAGGAAGAACAAACGTGTATGTTTGTGTACATGTGAGGTAGGGAGAAAACTAATGATAGAGCTTGCGAGGGAAAACCCCAGAAGAAAAAAAAATCATTCAATGAGAGTTTGGATGAAATCTTACATGAGGAGGAAAAGATAAATTTAGCAACTTAGAAATAAACTCTAAAAAGGGTGAAATGGTATGGGTTTAACGCCTCTATCAACACTATTAGGTTCTTTAAGAGGCGGGGCCTCCTAGTTTAACATCCGTCTCAGAAAGGACCGAGCCAAATGGGAAGTTCGTGTAAAGTGTCTTTCCGAAGGACACAACGTCGGACCGAGCTGAGGCTAAATAAACAAGCAAACATCCAAATGTCATAAATATGAAATGAAAACTAAAGTACAGGAAAAGAATAACAAAGGACGCCATCGAGGATAGTTGTAATATAGATGATTTTATCAAGTCTTAGAGGGTACATTTTTAAGGTCACAATGACAAATGTACAGGCATAATTAAGTCGAATAATTGTCATCACAAAACGGTTTTACAGAAACATAATAATATTATGTATTTACAGATGAGACGAAACAGGAAAAATACATGATTTATTTAACGCCCCACTTACCAATCCTCACTAAGGGAAAAAAATCGAAAGATCTGCAATTAAAGTTATAAAGTGATTGTATTATTCAGTTGTCTGAATTAATGGAAATGATACTGATCTTTTCAGGCATTATAGCAGATGCCAATTTTTCATCAATCAGAATGGTATAAGTAAAATTTTAAGCACAGAGCAAAATTCAATGGTAGGAGAACAGTGCATTATAAGTCAGACTTAATTAACTTTGTGCCATATCTACCTATATTTAGACATTAGCCGTTTCAATCATTATAGGATTTTGAAAAACGTTCAACATAGTTTTGTACAGAAGAGGAATCAACTTCCTATAGTTTTTTCTTCTTTTTTTCTTCTTAGAAATTCAATCCTGATGTTCGATCATGGAATGTATATTTCAACACTCAACACTCAGACAACAGAAGTGGTACTTCGGCGCGATGTCCCAGAACCAAATCGCTACAACTTGTATTGTGTATACTCCAACTTGTACGATGGTGTATACAATATGCTTCACTCGAAAAGAAACCAGTTATTTTTCAAATCATTCAGTTGTCTAACCTATTTTAGCTCTCGAGCCTTAAATCAAATGACGGGAAACGATATCGTAGTTTATAAGTTTTTTTTGGCGCCTTTCCACCAACTTTATCTAGCAACAATTCGAACTGAAAAATCCCCCAGAAGACAAAACAGAATTTCATATTCCGATGATGTCCAGGGTCAGTCCTGTGCTGATGTGAAATACACAACTCCCAACTCCTAATCAAATGTTCGTGGTGTGACGTCGTGGTTTTTTAAAACAGATTTTGTTTTGTTCTGTTCGGACCTGCAAGTTGTTCTTTTTAAATAACCGTAATTGTTTTCACTGTTTCAAATTGGCAAATGAGGTTTTTTAAAAAAGAAATCTGCGAATAATGTTGTCTGTCCCACAATTAGCAAAATATTTTTTTGTTTTTTTTGTTTTGTTTTGGAGAGATTCTATGTTTTCTTTGAACTTAATCTACTGAACAGAGAAAGGAATGGCTCTAAATCTAATTCGAATTAGCAGTTTTACTAAAATTTTGACGTGAATCATTATGAATGGATGTAAGTGTAACCATTTCTAGCGCGGTATCAGAAGTGTCGTGAATCGAGTATGAAGTCACTAACTGTACTGTAATCTGACAAAACGCCTTTAAAAAAATCTCACAACAGTTTCGAGAGAAAGATGTTTTTTTGTCAGCGTAACCGTTGAAAAATAGAGTACTTCTAAAATTTAAATTCTAATTCATTAATCTAAACAAACTAGTCACAGTTTCACTTTGATTTTTTCACACTAGTAGATTAACTAATCAGGCTTTTTCGATTTCGAAGAACAAAGTTTTTGGCGCCAAAATGAAAAAAAGCGTTTTGTCAGCTTAGTAGAGCAGATTACTGTGACTAGATCTAGTCGCTGATGAAGGAGCTGTTGGAGCGGCCCTGGCTTTTGTTTGTGGCGCGGCCCAGCGAGAACTGGGACATGAAGTACGAGTCGTTGTTGGCGTAGATGGCGCTGTCTGTGACGTCACTGCGGGCCCCAGGACTCAGCGGCGGCACAGCCCCGGCTGGAGCGAGAGAGTGAGAGAGTGAGAGATGGAGGTATAGAGAGTGAGAGACATGGAGGTATATAGAGAGAGATATGGAGGTGTAGAGAGTGAGAGACATGGAGGTATAGAGAATGAGAGACACAAAGGTATAGAGTGAGAGGCACAAAGGTATAGAGTGAGAGACAGAGGTATAGAGAGTGAGAGACATGGAGGTATAGAGAGTGAGAGACATGGAGGTATAGAGAGTGAGAGACGCAACGGTATAGAGAGAGAGGCATGGAGGAGGCATGGAGGTATGAGAGACATGAAGGTATAGAGTCTCCTTCTCCTTATCCTGATTTTTCTCCACCTCCTCCTCAACTTCAACCCTCCTGTCCCTCATCTGTATTCTCCTCGTCCTCATATTTTCCACCTCCCCGTCTTTCTCCTCCTCCTCTTCTCCTCCTCCTCCACACCATCATTATCATCATCCATCTCTTCATCTTCTTCCCCCTTTTCTTCTTCCTTCTCCTCCTCCCCCCACTCTTTTTCTTTCACCCCTTCTTCCTGTTCCCCCACAGCGACACAAAGGTAGGTAGAGTAGAAAGAAGCATGGAGGTATAGAGACTGAGAAAAACAGAGGTATAGACAGATAGAGAGGGAGAGCTGGTGCTGACATTATGACGAGTGTGTGGTCTATAATTGTTCTTCTGTCTGTTTAAAAAAGGCTTCTTTCGTTTCCACAGATAGCTTTCTTTTTCATTCCTTCTTCTGTCTGTTTAAAAAAGGCTTCTTTCGTTTCCACAGATAGCTTTCTTTTTCATTCCTTACTCTCCTTTCCCTTTTTTCAATCTTTTCATTTATACTGACAGGTTTTCTTTTTCTTTAACTTTCTCTCCTTGTCCTTCTTTTCTGTCTTTTCACTTAATTACTAATTCGTTCATACATTTATCTAGACGAACTATTTAATCCATTATCTACGTATGTGTATTTCTTGTGACAAAATATTATGAGACTGCGGAAGGAAAGGAGGATTCGAGAAAAAAGGAAAAAAATAAAAAGGAAGACCAAGCAGTAGAGACAGTTGGTTATATACTATACAGGGAGTCCGGAAAATTATGTAAGCAGACGAAGAAGTCGCAGCTGTTATTTGAAAAACTTGAAGAGAAGATTACACTGTATGGGGTGCAGAGACAAATCGGAAGGCACAAAATATTGCTGGCAATGATGATGATGATGATGATGATGATGATGATGATGATGATGATGATGATGATGAGGATGAGGATGAGGATGAGGATGAGGATGATGATGATGATGATGTGCAAAGGAGGTGGGTGGTGTGAGAAGGGAGGGGGCGGGATGCAGGACTAAGCAACAATGTCTTACATAAATAATTTACTCTTCATAAAGCCGACTCCAGTTTAAATACATATTATTATAAATTTATCGTACCATTTTGAATTTTAAAAATATTATGGCTTTATCCTAAAACAAACAAACAAAAGCAATAAAGTGGCACGTACAAAGAAATGGGGATGAATACTATGCCTCATCCTGGTTGCAAGATTGCCTTGCGATCTCAGCCCTGTTTTAATTCAATGTTTTTTAAAGACAATACATGTAGTGTGAAAATCAAACAGATCAGTTCTGATGTTCTTAAGAATCTTAATAAATCTAGTTGATATCTTTTTTTTCCCTCCAAATGTATCATAAAACACAAGACCCTATTCAACCAAGCAGTTCCGGTGATTTCATTCACTTTCTTTCGTGTGTAGAGAAGCATGGATACATTTGGTCAAAAGAGGAACTACCGAAAAAAACAACAGAAAAAGAATAAAATTAAGTGATATAACTTGCTTTACAAACAGAAACAAAACAGAGACAATAGAAACGTTCTTCTTTTGTTTGGTTTACTAAATGTTTTACGGCACTTGCACCACAATAAGGTCATATTAGTGCCGAAGAATAGAGGTGTTACAAGAGAGTAACAAACACAAAAAAGAAGGAGGGAAGATAAGGACGATAGATATTCGAAAGGAAAGAAGGAGCAAACCACACCAGTGCACGTACCCGCCAACCTCCCATTTTGGTCAAAAGAGGAACTACCGAAAAAAAAAAAAATTTAAGGGGGAATAAGCGATATAATTTGCTTCACAAACGGAAACAAAACAGAAAAATAGAAACGTTCTTCTCTGCAAAATCAAAACAGAAATATGACGTAATTATGACTCATCATGCTGAACTCAGTAGATCTGTATGTCAGAAGAATTACGTTCCAACATTGTCGTAGTTAGAGATCATTTTCATTAATGTATCTTTCTGCGCAATGTTATTGATTGTAAGAATCGTTTTCATTATATTCAATGGGGGGTTTTTTCCAAAAGAATTAAATGAACCTCATCACGGAAATTTCAATCACAGACCAGCTCCAGGCTTACGATAATTGTCCCTGGTGATTTTTTGGATCATGTCCATCCTACGAAAAAGTCTTTTAAATGATTTTTTTTCTTTACAATAGTTGGAAAACCTTCAGGTTTTTGTTATATTACATTCTAAAACGATCTTATTTAATGGAATTAATGTCAACTGAATCTGGAACACCCATAAAACATTTTTTAAATGTCTTTTCAAAGACAATACAAAGAACATAAACAGGCCACAGGTATATTATTGACCTTGAAACAATAATTATATAATATATACATGTATTGAGATTCTCTGTGCAGCATTCATCACAGAACAATATAATCTGGATCTGACCATTGTAGGCATAACGAAAACAAACGCGGCAAGGGAGGGGTGGTAGTGGTGGTGGTGGTGGTAGTGGGGGTGGCGATGGTGGGGTTGGTGGCAGTGGTTGCAGTGGTGGGGGTGGTG